GACCTGGGAAAACCAGGGAACGGCTTTACTGGAATTCAGTCTGATGCTGCATCTTGACTATCGAGTTGATGGGACTGAGAAGCAGTGGGGGTTAGTGATGCACCCCTGTGTTGGCTGTTTCCAGAGGTTAGATGGTGGGGGCTGTGTCCTAATGAATGCTTTAACCCAGGGATAGATTCAAATTTTGAGTAGATTATTGGAAGGCTCTGGAATAATGGAAGACGGTCTCAGATGGAAGAAGTAGATTATGTAAGGGGTTTCTTGTCTTTGGGGGCAACAGCTTGTCCTGACCACTTCCTGCTCTGACTCCACTGTGCTTTCTGTGTGCCTTGAGACATGAGCAGCTCAGGCACACCCTGGATGGAGCCTTTGAATGTAAACTAGCCTGATGACAGTGGGAAAGGGCTGGCCAGTTTTTCTTCCTGCTTCCCAGGAGCAACACAAACGAAGGGCACCACCTGGCTGGCAACTTAGTCTGCTTGTAACAGACCAGAAACATGGGGGAGGGGCATCCACAGGAAGCTACTGGTCCTCCAGAGTGCTCATCATTCCGGAATCTCACAGGAAAATACACGTGCATCCTTAAAAAATCTATTCATTGTGCGTTTTGCACAATTAAGCGCACGTAGTGATGTAATGACCTCTGGTCCCTACATAAACCAGTTTTCCTTTATTATTGTGGGACGGTGATGGGCACAGAGAAAAGGAAATGCTTCCTTCCGTCCTGGTCCCAGGACTGTCAGATACGGCGCCAGGCTCGTTTGTCTCTCTTTAATCATCTCTTTCCCTCCAATCCATTTCCTACCAGGAAGGTAAAGGTCACTCACTATCTGGAAACCCTCCACTACCAAAGCCTTTTTTCGATTGATTTTAGCTTTTTTTCTTAACTGTTAAAGACAATTGTTTCTTTTCTTGTCTTCATTTAGCTCATCAGTATCTGTTCTTTGTTGCTTTGTTTGTCTTAAGACCATGTCTTGCTGTGTAACTCAGGCTGGCCTGGAACTCACCCTGCACTTTAGACTGAGTCTCCTCCTCCTTGCCATGGGCAGTGCGGCATCAGATCCTATCTGTTCACAGAGTAAAGGCTTAGATGAATTCAGATCAAATGTGCCTGGTGTGCTGATCCGAGGTGGGCTCATCCTGCCTCAAGCCTCCTGTGGACTAGGACGGCAGGTGTGTGCCACCATGCCTGGCTAACGCTAGTTTCACAGAGGATCTTTTGCATCAGCTCGCATTGGATACCACTCTTTCCTTACCACCTTGATGAATCTTGGGAGTGAAAGGCTGCCTGTCTCCTACGTCTAGGAATCAGATGCTTCAGATGGAAATTCAACTTTGCATTGCTTGTACCTGAATGAGACCTGAAGGAAGGGAAGTCCTGAACCCATCTTCTGGCCACTGTTTCTTCTGGAGGTGACTGTGGTCACACAAAAGACAATCATTCTAGAATGTTCTGGTCCTGGAGCACTGATATCAAGTTCTGGAACTCAACTCCAGGAGTAACATCTTGGCTGACGCTTCACCCCTTCTTCTAGTGTATCCCCTGACAAATTACTTTTTCACCCCAAATGCCCAGAGTGATCTCCATACATTGTCCTGACTGACATTCCTGGTCTCATGAGTCAGAGAACTATCAGTACTGGCAATTAGGGGTTACAGTGCACACCAACGTGCTTGAGAAAACTAGGTCTCTACTGCCATTCTGAATAGACAGGACCCACACTCCTCTCTCCATCATACAGAGAAGAAAGCTGAGTCTCAGGGGAGACAGGGGAGTTACCCAAGGAATTTAGTTGGCATTTGGATAGACAAAATTTAAATCCACACCTTCCTTCGATATTAGGAAGTCTCCAGAGCCAAAAACAATGGAATGCAAGAGCACATGAACATTGGGACAGAATTAAAGCCTGATTTACTAGCATGTATATGTGTGTGCATATGTATGTGTGTATGTGCATATGTGTATGTGTGCATTGTGTGCTGTACATGTATGTGGAGCATGCATATGAGTGCTCCCATGAGCACACATATGGAGGACAGAGGACCTTGGAAGTCATATTCTACCGTTTTCTGCCTGTTTGTCTTGAGGTAGGGCCTCTGATTGAAGCAGAAGCTCACTGAGTTAGCTAGGCTGGCTGGCCTATGACTCCTGGGATCCACCTGTCTCCAGTCCCACTCCATGTAGGAGTACAGGCACAGCAGACAGGCACAGCTTTTACACCACACCCCACGCAGGAGTACAGGCACAGCAGACAGGCCCGGCTCTTACACCACCCCCATGCAAGAGTGCAGACACAGCAGACATGACCAGCTTTTATTCAGACAATGGCAATTTGAACTCGTGTCCCCATGCTTAGTGTGCAAATGTTCTTTATCACTGAGTCGTCCACCCAGCCAATACTTCCTCATTTCTATCTATTTAATGTATATGCGTGTTTGCCAGCGGGCATGTATTGTGCTTCATGTATGCCTGATGCACCAGGAGGTCAGAGGAGGAGTCCGATCCACTGGAACTGGAGTCACGGATATTGTGAGCTGCCAGGTTTTCTCCAAGAGCAACAATTGCTCCCCCTCTCTGCAGCCCCCTATTTAGTAGTTGTTGGTTTTTCCTACTTTAAACAGCAGACCTTCCAAAACCATTCAATTATCTGACACAACAAAGAGTGATCCAATAAATACAGGATGGTTTTTTTTGTTGTTGTGGCTTTATTAATTTTTGGTTAGCATAACAAAGTCATAGGCTTCACTGTGACACTTTCATACATATAGTTCATTATACTTTGTTCTGATTTGTACCCCAGCCTGCTCCATCTTCCCTCCGTCCTCCTCTCTGGTCCTCTCCATACCTCAAACATTTCTTCCCTCTGTGTTCATGCCACATGTTTCCCATCATCCTCTTCTTTTTGCCTTTCCCTCTTCCTCTAGTCCTTCCTCCCTCTCTTACCCTCACCTCCACTTTCATGTCCTACACACACATACACACATACATATGTACACACACAAATACACACACATACACACATACATATGTACACACACAAATACACACACATACACACATACATATGTACACACACAAATACACATACATATGTACACACACAAATACACACATACATATGTACACACACAAATACACACATACATATGTACACACACAAATACACACATACATATGTACACACACAAATACACATACATATGTACACACACAAATACACACAAATACACACATACATATGTACACACACAAATACACACATACATATGTACACACACAAATACACACATACATATGTACACACACAAATACACACACATACACACGTACATATGTACACACACAAATACACACATACATATGTACACACACAAATACACACACATACACACATACATATGTATACACACAAATACACATACATATGTACACACACAAATACACACATACATATGTACACACACAAATATACACACATACACACATACATATGTACACACACAAATACACACACATACACACATACATATGTACACACACAAATACACACATACACACATATGTACACACACAAATACACACACATACACACATACATATGTACACACACAAATACACACACATACACACATACATATGTACACACACAAATACACACACACATATGTACACACACAAATACACACACATACACACATACATATGTACACACACAAATACACACACCTACATGCACATATACACACATATGCGCACACACAACCACACATACATATGTACACACAAATATACATATATACGCGCATACGCACACACATATGTACACATGCGTACATACACACACATACATGTGTGTTTTGATTCTGCATGAGAGAAAGCATGTGATATAGACTTTTTGAGTTTGTTTTATTTCAATTAACATAATTATTTCCAGTTCTATTCATTTTCTTATAAATGTCCTGATTCCATTTTTCTTTAGAACTGCATAATTTTTCTTTGTGTCTATGTACCACATCCTCTTTATCTATTCCTCTGCTAGGGGACATCTAGGTTGGCTCTGTGTCGTGGTCAGCATGGACAGAGATGCAGGTATCTCTGTGGAAAGCTGACTTAGGACCCTCAGGTATATTCCCAGCAGTGCAGGCGCACCTTGTAGAGCCTGTGACAATGGATTCCATGTGACAAACTGATAAGACCGTCTTCTCTGCGAATGAGCTTGTGATCTGTTCATCACAGAACTACTCAGAAACCGAGTCCTGCCGTCTAAGGCTGAACATGAGTCCTCTACACGCGATCATCTGGCCAAACTGGAGTCACCCAGAAGACCTGGGAAGACCAAAATTAATTTCTCAAGTTCTCCCTGTTTCACCAAAGACCTCCCCGCAACCAACACCAAGGGTTCTTTAAAATAAAAAAAAAAAACTGTCTTTTTCAAACTAGTTAGTGAGAATCATCTCACTGCAACGTTCAGGAAAGCAAGCAGGGAAACGCCAAGTAAGCAAAGACTGTTTTTGACCATTTCAAAAGTGGTCAGACTGAATTCTTTCTCTCAGTGCCCACCACTCCTCCACTTCAGAGCAAGAATGTAGCTGTAAGGTTACACTCAAGAGTTCAGAGAAGATGTATGGTCCCCACTCCCCAGTGGCAGCATCAATCCTAAGTAAACATTCTTATCTCAAATCCTCACCATCCTCCCACAGCCGACCTCAGCACTGGAATCCCAGCACTCCCTGACCACTGTTTGCCCCAGTTTCTTATGTCTGAAATCTAAATGGCAGGGAAAACTGCAGCTCTATGAAGTCCTTCCTCTTAATGTCTTACTTCCACCTGTGCATCAAAGCAGAAAACATAAAAAGACGTGAGAAAAAAAGGTGCACAATTAAGATGAGAAAAGAGAAGATGAAGAGCAGCAGGCCCAGGGGGTCAGCAGACCCCCATAAAGCCTTCCTTTAGGGAGAAAGGTCAGGAGCTGCACCACAATGCAATGGGTTCCACTCACCTGGGGGAAGAGGGAATAGGTGGAGTTGTCAATGGTGAACGAGTATAGAAACTCCCCATCATACCAAAGGCTCTTCCCCATGGGGGAGTTCGTCTTTGTCATAGCAAAGAGATGGGCCGGATCGCAACAGTCTTCCATTTGCTTCCTAGGAGAGAGACAGAAAAGAACAGCAGGTTAAGCGAGCAGCCGACTCCTGCACTTGCCATCCCCACAGGAACATGCAGCCTCAGCCCAGTGCCAAATCACTCCACAGTGTCTCCACGGTGATCACGCTATGATTAACTCACACTGCCAGTCACTGAACGGCATGACTGTAATATTTTACTTACAAAATGTTTCAGAAAAATATGCCAGCTCCCAGGTGTGGCTGAAATATATCTAGAGGCAAAACTAGGCATGATCCTTGGAGATGCACTGGCTGGTTCAGCCATCCGGATCCTAGAAAGACTATGGAGTTCCCATAAAGAGCTGGCTCTGGAGGATGGCGGGCTAGCTAGCGGCAGCAGAAACACACCTGTGTCTCATTTCCAGCTATTGGGTAGTTAAGAAGAGTGCAGAGGGTGGCTATGAATGAGAAACAGGTTAGGCCAAAGAGGGTCCATGCTCCCAAACTGAGGACAGGATCACAGGGAACTCTGTAGCAGGCCTTCTGGATAGAAGCAGGCACAAAATAAATGGTGTAGTCTCAGAAGATAGTGAGGTAACCTGCCTTCTGGATGTCGGGGACTGACTTGGTTGAACACTGTGACCTTTGCCGCAACCTCACTTTTCCCACTCTGTGTTTGAAATACTGGCCTCTAGCGGGATTGCCTGGCCCCAGCAATCTGCCTTTAGATGATTCCCTTGTTGGCGCTTCAGTACCAGATGTGACACTGCTCTATGGGGTTGATCAACCACTGAGCTTTAATGAGTAAAGGAGCTAGCATTTAGGAAGACAAATTGCAGGCATGATGGCATACCTTGATTGTCAACATGATGGCACAGAGTAACACCCAAGAAATTATTGAAGCACATTTTGTGCGTTGCCAGAGAAGAATAACTAAAATCTGGGTGATCCTATTATAGATGGATTTTTATGACCCATTTTGACCCACAGCCATTCAGTCCCAAATAAACACACAGAGGCTTATATTAATTACAAACTGTTTGGCCTATTGCTCAGGCTTATTACTAACTAGCTCTTACAACTTAAATTAACCCATAATTCTTATCTATATTTAGTCACATGGCTTGGTACCTAGTCTCAGTAAGGCATTCTTGTCTTGATTCCTCTGTGTCTGACTGGTGACTGCATCTCTGCCTTTCCTCTTCCCAGAATTCTCCTTGTCTGGTTGCCACACCTATACTTCCTGCCTAGCTACTGGCCAATCAGCATTTTATTAAACCAATATGAGTGACAAATCTGTACAGTATACAAGAACATTATCCCACAGCCTCCTATTCCATAAACAACAAGTTTGAGTGGAATGAACTAGTTCTGTCTGGTTTCCCTGAGGGGAATTGTTCAGCTCCATCGTGACTCCTTGCTGTACAACAGTTTTTTCCATGTTGAAGAGAAGAAGGGGAAGGCTCAAGGGGTAAAAAAAAGGTCACATGTCCGGGAAAACAAACACTTGGAATGTTCTGGAAGGCCCCTCCTCAGCAGTATTAAAAAGGAGTTAACAACTGCTGGAGTAGGAGACCCTCTCCTTGCTGACCTGACCTCGAAGGCAACATGACCAGCTGCCTTGTCTTCCCATCACATGCCCTCCTCACCAGGACCTATGAGCCAAAATAAGCCTTCCTTCCTTTAAGTTGCTCCTGTGACAATTTTAACACAGCAATGATAGAAATCAAAACAACATGATGCCGTATGTGAGCTGGGTCACTTGCTAACCCCTGACTGGGGGGTTGGAGTGGGAAGTACCCTTAGAGCTTTTTAAAAAATGTGTAGAAAATGTTCATATGAAGCAGCACAAAACCCCTAGTGCCTGTTTGAATGTTGTCTCCAAAATTTATGTCAAAATTTATTTGCCAGTGTAATCAGATTGGCAGAGAGAAGTGTGACATCGAGAAGAGCCACACTTCCTCTACTGGGTTGTTCCTGATCAACAAGTGTGGTCTTGCTCTGATTACTACCCAGCTTCCAGTGCCTCATATCCACCCAGTGTTGCTGATGAACACTTCCATAGGTCACACTGAATGAGCACCTGTACACACCTGCTCGAGCTTCGGGTCAAAGGTCAATACATCTGAATACAAACTTTAACCTTTCCTTACTAGGAGGTCATGACAGGAGCCTGCTGTGTAACTATTTCCTCTGAAACCAAAACATCCCATCCTGCAGGGATGCTCCTCAAAAAGGAAGGTGAGCATTTCAGAGCAGTCCCAGGAAGTCCCTGAAACGGACCAGATTCACTAGGGCCCTGACTCGCTGCCGAGAGGCACTCTGAGACAAGCCGAGCTGCCTGGAAGAAGCAGAAACTACCCTGACTGCCTGAAAGAGGTTTAGATCAACCATGTCACTTGGAAAGGACACTCTCCAGCCTGGTGAGCTACCTGCAGACAGTGTCTCGGGTTTCCAGCTCTTGTAAACTGTCACCCATGCTGGGGTGGCCTCTGGTGGTGCAGCTGTCTTGGAGTGATTTCTGCTCCTGTGTGTAACCCTCACCCACACTCCTTTAAGCAACCCTAATAAAGCTCATAATCCACTAAGCTGGACTTTGGTGGTATCTGTACGTTGATCTATTGTGGACTTACTAGCTGGGGTGAGCTGTGTCTCCCCGGGAAAGGTTCTGTCATATGGCAGGGCCCCATTTCTTGTGCTGCCTCTCTTATCCCCAAGATTAAGCCTCACTAGGATAGCATTCCCAATGGCTCCTTGACTTCTCCCTGTATTGAACGAAAGAGCCCAAGTCAGAGTGGGTGGCACTGAAGACGGATAGCAGGCCCCGAGGACCAGCCTAGGTCATGGGGTCTATGCTTGGGTAATGAATGCCACTGTCATAGGAGGGAGTTCAGATCACTTGGTTTTGGTTTTTCTGCTTCTGCTGCCCGACATGCTGTCCTCTGCCACGTCATGGCACAGCGGGAAGGCCCACACTAGAGGCTGCCCTTGGCACTAAGCTTCCAGCTTAAGAGACGGACATTCTTTTTTCTTCCAGAAGAGAATTTCCTAAAAGTTCCCTGTCATGTGACATTGTGCTATCCTAGTAGAATGTGAAGTATGATATCGGGTATTGCCATTATTGTTTCATGGCGCAGGCTTGCTGACAAAATGATACTCATGGCCAGGGAGGCCATGGGATTGTAGGCCTGGCAGCCTACTCAGCCCCATGGGCCTCTGAGCTCATTACACTCTGTTAGGTGTTCCCTCCTGCTCTTGGGTCTTGGCTGGGTTCCCCTTCATGCTGGTTTCAATGTGGAAAGGACAAAGGAGGGGACTAAGGACAAAAGCCTTTGTTCTGTCAAAGGATTATAGTGTCATGCTTTGCTGCTACATCAACATTTATTTACCATAGGAACCTCCCTTTCCTTTCTCATCTACCTTCATCATCATTATCATCATTAAGACAGGGTTTTGGTATGTCCACCAGGCCAGTCTCAAACTCATCACCCTCCCCAGCTACTAAATGCTGGGATTTGGGATGCTCACCACTACACTAGCTCACCATTGAATTCTTACTAGAGCTTCTCTACCACAAGGTAGCATGACCAGGGTTGTGTTTTATCATGAGCGGTCCCTACATTTTGTCAAAAGAGCACCCTAGACACCATATTTTAACCATATGACTTATATGGTTTAAGACAATCTCTTAAAATAGGCAGAAGTCCCACGGACATGCATCTATACGTTGGTGAGAATGCCCTGATGTTTGGGTTCCCTGCTACAGGTCTGGCGATGTCTCTCTTTTGTCTTCAGAAATAACTCTAAGAGATCACGAAAGAATTATTGTTATTCTCATTATGCTTAATTAACGTCTACAAAAATGAGCTGCACGTGGTTTCAAGACTTGTCTCGGCCACAGGAAGAAACACACATGCAGATCTGTGAGTCTAAGTCTGGGCTGTTTCCTCTCTGCTTGCAAAGCACTCAGAACCATACCGGCCCGCTTCTCTTTTCTCTATTCAAGGAATCTTTTGCACAAATGGGCCCAATGCCTGCCATGCAGCACAGGCCTTCAGGACAGAATGTCCATCCAGTTCCCATCGCACCACGGAGCTGGGCAGCTTTGAGATACTTTCCCCACAATTTGTCTCAGGCCACAGACGCAGCACCATGGAGGTGCATGACTTCACCCTCAAGTCTTTCCACCTCTTATGAGGTCCTTCCTTCCAGATGGAAGCTCTCCCCTCTAACCTCCACTAAACCATGATTCAGTCTAAAGTGCCATGAGAAACGCAGAAGAAAAACTTGCCATGGTCGAACAAGAGCACCTTCTTCCGGCTGCAGCCTGACAGCTAACAAATCACATTCATATTTGTTTCCTCTCTGAATCATAAAAAGAAAAAAAAAGCCACATAGGAAAAAGATCCAGGCAGTCACATTTTCCTGAATGTACAGACAATGAAAGCAATGTTACAAGCCAAGAGTTACACAGGTTTGTCAGACAGATGAATGATTTCTCTGGCATTACTAGCATGTGTGCTGGAAGACATGGAGTAAGTTTGCCTCTCTTCCTCCGTTATCACTGGACTTGGAGCAATTATTTCCTTTATGGGAAAAAGCAGAATTAGACAGAAAGTAGGAGTTCCTTGTGGACAAGTATTTCCAGAAACCCTACATCTCCAGCAAACTCATACTGGTCCTACTGCTCTCTGAAGTGCAGAGTTTTCTACACGCCTTTCCAATGTTCTCTCCCCACGATTCTTCCTCATCCTTCTGTTGTGCTGTTCTATGAAGGTGTTAGGGGATCACACTGAGACATGGTCCATGCCCATTCTTCAGGCCAGAGGGGCTCAACTAGATCACCAGCTACGAGGCCACGGCATCAAAAGCAGCAGCTGAACCAGGTGTAATCTGCAAATCCAGCACTTGGGGGACCAAAACAGGAGAATAGAAATTTTAAGGTCAGCCTGAGCTACATAAAAATAAAACACAAATCACTAATATTAGAAGTATCAGCAGTAATACTCATAACATTTTTTTCATTTTTAGGCAACATC